TCGGCCTAGGCCTGTGCCCGGGTGGCGAGGATGGGCGGCGCTGAGGACTGGGGCCGAAGGGCGCCAAAGGGCGCCGGGGCTGAAGCCGATAGACCGCGGCAGCCGAAGCCGGACCGAGGATGGACCGAGGCTGACGCTGCAGCCAGAGCCCGGGAAGCCAGGGAGGGAGGGGGAGCGACGAGATCGCGGGCCGGCCTCTCGCGAGAGCCAGAGCCGGGGAGCGGCGCCGGACCCCGCCCCTTGCCGGGGCGCGTGCGCACCAGCCTACGGCCGCCTCCCAGAAGCGGAAAGCGGCGGAGACCGACTCGAGGCGGTGCCCGAAGCATGCGCAATCGTTCGCCTCCCCCGCCGAGCGTGTGCGCATGCGCTTGGGGCTCCGGGTTGGGGCGCAGGGGGAAGCAGGGCGAAAGGAAGGATGGGATGCGGTGGGCAGATGTGCGTGGGGAGAGGTCAAACCCTCAGACTCTTGAAGGAGCCAGACTGGGACTACAGGAGCCAGTAAAATCCTCAAAAGTTGTGGGAGATTTCAGCTGACCTCAGCATCAACTTAAGTATTTTTCCGATTATGGACACCCCCCCCACCCCAGCCCCCACCCGCCAACGAACTTATATTGGTTACCATCATTCTTTCAAGGAAGAGAGGTCATTAAAAAACTTTGTCCTAATGGTGATGGTGGTGGTAGTACGTACGTGCTACATAAAATTTACCATTTTGCCATTTTCAAAGGCACAGCTCAGCAACGTGAAGCAGATTCACGTTGTTGTACAACCATCCTCACCATCCATCTCTAGAACTTTCTCATCTTCTAAAACGAAACTCTGTTCCCGTTAAACACTCACTCCCCTTTCTATTCTAGTCCCCCACACTACCACTCCATTTTCTGTCTCTATGAATTCAACTTCTCATGTAAGTGGAATCAGGCAGTGTTTGTCCTTTTGTGTGTGGCTTATTTCACTGAGCATCACGTCCTCAAGGTTCATCCATGTTTGGCGTCCGTCCAAATTTCCTTTTAAAGGCCGAATAGTACTCCTTTGGATGGATGGACCACATTTTGTTTATGCATTTATCCATGATAGACATTTGGGTGTTTCTGCCTTTTGGCTGTTATGAATAGTGCTGTTACAAAATTGGTGTACCAGTATATATTCAGATCCATGCTTGCAAGTCTTTTGGATACCTACCTAGAAGTGGCATTGCTGGTGAATCTACGTTTAGTTTTTTGAGGAACCATCATACTGTTTTCCACAGCGACTACACCATTTTAAGGGAAAGGTCATTTTAACACCAACTATAAAAAAGGAGGAACTATGTGGTACAAAATAAAGGGACAGCCGTTTAAATGGGAGAAAGTTGACTTCATGAAAAACTCACCACATTGCTTTTCTTTTTGTCACGTCTCTGAGCACCTGTGCGCATATCATGGTGGGGTGTGTCTCCAAGTGGGAAGAAACAGGAAGAGGAAGATTCAGTCAACCTCTTCTTGAGTCCAGCTGGAGTCCCCTGGTCACCCTGACTCAGTCCTGCCCACTTCCTGTCCAGCCACCCTG